ATTGATAATTGCAAACATTTTTTGTATTGCAAGTTTTCTAAAATGTTAGGTTTGGATATGCAAATGAGTCATTATTTAATGAAATATGCACTAATTTGCATACATTTCTTGTACAAAAATCTAAACACGGGATGATGTCAGTTTCAACATTTTTGTTACATTTTTTTGCCATATTAGAGTCAAAAGTTTTTACAGAGGGAATTTTGGGTATCTCATAATTTTGGGTATCTTGTCACTCCATAATTCAGAAAATGCTTAGAATGGACAGAAAACATTATATTTTCACAATTTCGGGGGTATTAAAATGTTGTATATAATCAAGCTAATTATATATGAACAAAGCCCTCTGTAAAAAAACCTTCAGGATATACAGGAATAAAAATGTAAAGTTTGGTGTGTGTAAGTGTTACTGAAGTGGAGATTTATGGCTCAGAGGAGAAAAAACTCATTTTGAGAAAACGGCCTTTAAAAATATGTATTGTAATTTAAATCTATTGACACAAATAGATAAAGTGCTATTAACGAAACACTTAACAGTGTCTTTTGGATGTTTTCTTTCCACTAGTCTGACAAAACACTTTATGAAAAACCAAAAAGCCCCAAATCACAAACTTGACAGGTGCATGAAAAAACAGTGTTTTTGCCTGCAGTGTCTCCCCTTAAAATACATAACACTTATATGTCAAAAGTCAAATGAACCCAAATGTATGTGTAATAGATGTCAATGTGCTAAGGGTTCACAAGTTCAACCAACTATTGCTCAATATTGTATGTAAGCCTCTTTCAGCAGTTCTCCAGCACAGGTTCCTCTTGTAGCATTATTTATGTTTCCCCAGAAGACTCATGGTTATCAGCAACAATTGGTAAAGTCCTTGCTTTTTCTGCCTTGTTAGAATGCAGAGCAATACTAAATTGGAAGGAAGCAGTTCCACCCATCTGGTGGATCAGAGATAATGTCTTGGCTCCACCTTGAAAAGATCAGATAGCCATTATGAGGATCTGAAAAACAATACTGTATATCTCCCTGTTAAGCCCTAAATAGATGTAAAAATAGTTTGTTTGTTTGTATGTTTGTTTGTTTGTTTGTGTTTGTTTGTTTGTTTGTTTGTTTGTAAGTATATATATATATATATACAGTATATATACATGTGTGTGTGTGTGTGTGTGTGTGTGTGTGTATACATTCATTTTTTTCAATTATCTTATGAAAATTATTGGTCAGAATTGAAGTAATCACGGGGAATATTTCCTCAGGGTTGAGGGATTGTGTTGAACTGATTTGTATTGAAAAAAAATATTTGAGAACAAAATTAATGAAATTGCTATGAAATATAACAATTCAATAATCCTAACATTTTGTACAGTAATTGTACAGTAATTTTATCTTAGTTATACATCTCTGGGGTTAAATAAGTTTTTTTTTTGTGTGTGTGTGTGTGTGTGTGTGTGTGTATACATTCATTTTTTTCAATTATCTTATGAAAATTATTGGTCAGAATTGAAGTAATCACGGGGAATATTTCCTCAGGGTTGAGGGATTGTGTTGAACTGATTTGTATTGAAAAAAAATATTTGAGAACAAAATTAATGAAATTGCTATGAAATATAACAATTCAATAATCCTAACATTTTGTACAGTAATTGTCCACTTTTATCTTAGTTATACATCTCTGGGGTTAAATAAGTTTTTTTTTTATTTGTCTGGCTGCCTTATAGTGACCCCTTCTGGCCATCGAAGACATTCACACTATGGAGCAGTGGTGATGTTTATTCCCCCCCTAGATTAAAATAAAAGAAATAAAATAATATTAATCTTGTGTAGTGCAAAGAATTGTTGCTGTTGTTTTTTCCTTTTTTTAATAAACCATTTGACCTATGCTTTCTTTAAATTGTAACGCAAAAGTAACGCAACGCATTACTTTCCATAAAAAGTAACAAAGTACCGTAATTAGTTACTTTTTTATGGAGTAACGCAATATTGTAATACATTACTTTTAAAAGTAACTTTCCCCAACACTGCAAATAAATCCCAAATCAGTGAGCCTTGGTCTTGGTTCACGATACGCCTCCTGGCCGGCAGAGGGCAGCGCTTCAACGGACGTCCGGTGACTTCGGTTTGACGCCACGCGCGCGGCAAAAACAAAAATGACGTATGCGCGGTATTTCCCTAAAGTGTAGATTTTATTATTATTTTGTTTTGCACAGTTTAGTGACAGAAGCTGTATATTTCAAGAAATACACGAGCAAGAAGTTATTCTTTTATCCAGCAACCGTTGCTTATTCGCATACTAAAGGTGAGCATATTGATATTGATTTATGATCGTGTTGTTGGAGCTTCAGTGCTGTAAAAGCGCTTACTACTGCTTTAAACGGTTTAAATTAAGTGTAACTTACAGTTTAACGGTGATTCCGAGTGGTTCTAAAACTTTATCCTTAAATTTAATGGTAGTGTTCAAATAATACAGCTATATTTATTGTGCGTGTAGTTATTAGACAGCTAGCAAATCTCCTGTATACACTTAATGTGATTCAGTAACAATTTTTGTTTTTATTTTTTGTCAGAGACTGCACAGTACAGTACAGGACCAAAGTAAAACATATCTTTGCAAATCAAAGACAACATGTCATGTTTTTTTTGTTACTTTTCAAAATTTAAGTGAGCCTTAAAACATTCTTAATATTTTGGAGGATGGTAATTAATTTTAAGTATGAATTATAATGCCTGTAAAAATTATGATTTGCAGGGTATTTTGGAAATACATGGCCATGGATTCTGCAGAGACGAGATATGCCCATCTGCTGCAGCCGCTGCGGGACCTCACCAAGAACTGGGACATTGACCTGGCCAGCCAGCTTGGAGAGTATCTTGAGGAGGTGAAAAAACACTAACAGACTGATCTAGAACCACCTTAATTCATTTAAAGGTTCATTTTCTAGCCTAAGTATTGTATTGTTGCTGTTGTATGTGTTGACAGCTCGACCAGATGACCATTTCATTTGATGGTGGGAAAACCATGATGAACTTTGCAGAGGCTGCACTTTTAATCCAAGGATCAACTTGCATCTATGGCAGAAAGGTTAAATATGTGATGTTTTATGTGTGTGTTACAGTGATTAATTTCACAAAAAATAAGTACAAATTATCTCATTTATTGAATTACTTTATTTACTCTGTTTAGTTAATTTAACAAAAAGTTTTATGTGTGTCAGAAAGAAATAAGATTATATTTTATATTAGTGTTTTAATTTAAAAAATAAAATAAACTAAAGGAATAGTTCACCCAAAAAACTAACATTTTCTGAATATTTACACACCCTCAGGCCATCTATTCTATGAATTTATTTCTTAATCGGAACAGATTAGGAGAAATGTAGCATTATGTCACTTGCTCACACCAATGGATCCTCTGCAGTGAATGGGAGCCGTCAGAATGAGAGTCCAAACAACTCATAAAAACATTACAATAATCCAAAAGTAATCCACATGGCTTCAGTCCATCAATAAATGCCTTTTGAAGTGAAAAGCTGCGTGTTTGTTAGAAACAAATCTACCATTAAGGCGTTTTGACGTTAAACCTTAGTTTCTGGCCAAAATACTAGTAATACAAAATACTATCTGTTAGATGCAGAAACAAACTCACCTACATCTTGAATGGCCTGAGTAAAATTTCAGTAATTTTTCATTTTTGGGTGAACTAATCCTTTAATATGTCACAAAGACGCAAACTTAAATTGAAGATGTTTTCTTTACAAATTGATCTGTTCGGAATATTTAGGTGGAGCTCCTTCACACTCTGGTGTTTCAAACATTGGACTACATCTCTAACAAAAACAAGAAGTAAGTGTTATTGTCCTGGACCTCAGTTTTCTGTTTAATCTGTTGAATGTGCAGTTGGTATGTTCATGTTGTCATGCTATTTGTCTTTATTTCAACAGGTGTAACAAACAAGGTTCTTCATCAGACGGTAACCATGAAGATGCTCCTTCAGGCAATGAAGACGATGATTGTGAGGTGCGTAAATGAGCAATAAGGCTTGTTAATTTAAACAAAAATTAAATGTTTTATATATCTGTGTGAATAATTGGGTATTTTTGATGCAGTTTGATGAGATTGAGCAGGATGAGAATGTCAACTCTCAGAATATAACTATGAAAGATCCAACAGAGGTGAGTTGGGTTTCACCTCATCAGAGATTTTGTTTCTACAACTTAATGTGTATACTGGACATCCATGCTATTCTGCGTTTGTGTCTTTGACTGGGTAAACTGGGGGGAAAAATTAGGAGTAAAGTTAATATGCTTTTGATATTTACTAATATTACTGTTTAGCGAATAATAAACTTGTATAGCAGTTGTCTGTACAAATTCTTTCGTATTCTTTTTTTTTAGCCAGTGAAGATTATCCGTCTCCCTCCTGAATCTCTCATTCCTGTAGAATCACTTGAGAAACAGAAATACCCCCTTCTCAGGTAAAGACACTCTGACCCACACAAACAAAGGAAATGGTTGCACACTGTTCCTTCTGTAATCTTATTGGTACTACAGTCCAACGACATCAATCAAGTCCTCTTGCTCTTCAGGACAATATTGTCTGAACAAGTGAATCAGTTGCTGGAAATTAAGCTCGTACTTATAAAGAACTAAAAATGCTTTACCAAAATGTTTGTTAATTGTTATCATCTAGTCTTAAAGGGGAGCTTCTTGGCAGCTGTAAGGATTTTCGAATGAATAATTTCACCATGGACGAATCAGGATTGATGCGTCTGGGCTCTTCCCACACTCACTTCCTCAAGGAGGTCGCAGAAATCCAGCACAACTTCTCTGTACATGCACCTGTGCCCTTAGACAATGGTGAGGACACAGACTTATCGCGTGACAGTCTATACAGATGGTTTGCCTTTTTTTTTTTATGTTTCATGACTTAAAAGTTTGACATCAGATAATCAAAACTGATTAAAAAGTCACTTTGTTGTCATCAAAGAATCCTGAAAAAATGTATTACAGTTTCTCTTTAAAAAATATGAAGCAGCACAGCTGTTTTCAACATAAGAAATGAATATTTCGCACCAAATCAGCATATTAGAATGATTTCTGAAGGATCATGTGACACTGAAGACTGGAGTATTGGCTGCTGAAAATTCAGCTTTGCTCTTACAGAAATAAATTACATTTTAAATGATCTTAAAATAGAAAACACTTATTTTAAGTGGTAATAATATTTCATAATATTAGTTTTTTTCCCTGGTATTTTTAATCAAATAAATGCTGCCTTCAAACACATTTTAAAAAATCTTACTGACCCCAAATTAAACCTGAATCTTACTCCTATTTCAAGACTAATAGATTACCACACTGGTCTCTTTTGTTTTTGTCTGATCGTTGTCATCTGGTGTCCAGAAGGTGTAGCTCAGGTTATTGGTGGTTATGATGAAGAAGATGTTGGCGCAGAGGTTCTTCCTCCACTGGAAGATCATGGAATGGAGGTGGAGTCTGAAGAGAGGGTGGAAAGGCATCAGGTACCAAAACAGTTTGTGTGATTTAATGTTAATATATTTGGCATTCAGGTAAAGGTCTGTTAAATGTAATTTTTAAAAAAAAATTTTTTAATTGGTCTAGGCCCCCAGTGAGGGGAGGATGTTAAGGCCGAGACCTGCAGTACAGCCAATTCCAGAGGAACCCAAGCAGCCCAAGGTATAGAGCGGTGCACTGACATTAAATGGCCACTTTTCTTCACACTAAATCAATCAAGTAACCACATTCACATGAAGTACATGTTAAATTATCAATATGTGACCCTGGACCACAAAACCAGTCTTAAGTCACTGGGGTATATTTGTAGCAATAGCCAAAAATACATTGTATGGGTCAAAATTATTGATTTTTCTTTTATGCCAAAAATCATTAGGATATTAAGTAAAGATCATGTTCCATGAAGATATTTTGTAAATTTCCTACTGTAAATATATTAAAGCTTAATTTTTGATTAGTCATATGCATTGCTAAGAACTTAATTTGGACAAATTTAAAGATGATTTTCTCAATATTTAGATTTTTTTTGCACCCTCAGATTCCAGATTTTCAAATAGTTGTATCTCGACCAAATATTGTCATATCCTAACAAACCATACATCAATGGAAAGCTTATTTATTCAGCTTTCAGATGATGTATAAATCTCAATTTTGAAAAATTGACACTTATGGCTGGTTTTGTGGTCCAGGGTCACATATGATTTTGGTATGTTATGTTGGCATTCTGTAATACGTGTTGCATTATCATGGCCTTACAAAATACCATGTGCATATTCCAGGAAATTGTGGACCCTTGGAAATGGCATGACTCATATGCTGTGTTTGGGGAGGACAAACCCCTCAAAACAGGTGTGTGCTCAATCTGATGATGATGAATCTTCTTGATGTTTTTCCATTAAAATAACTCAATTATTCTTTCCCATTATGGCTTTTTGCTGTTGCATGTTTATTTTCTTCTTGACTCTCTAGGGAAGTGTTATAAAGTGCCAGCAGGTCTTGAGGAGTCTGGAAAGAGGAAGAGGAAGGGTTCTTCAAAACTTCAGGACTTTGGGAGCTGGTACTCTAAAGCCTGTAAGTTGTTATCAGGCTGTTATTTAAAAAGGAATGGAGGACATAACTGTTTAGATGACTGAGAAATAGTTTTTTTTCTTTTACAGTTGAGACTACGGATCGCAAGCTTAAGAATGGACCTACTTATCCTGGTAATACTTTAAGACCTTGTGCTATATTAAATAAATTTTTCTCTAAGAAGTTGTTGTAATTTATACAAATTATGTTGTTTTTTTATTGTAGACCTTAATTACATCTTTGTGAGTAACATGGGTCAGCGTCTGAAAGTACAGAAGCAGATACTCAGGAAAAGGGTAAGTACAATAAATAAATGCTGTTCTTTTGAACCTTCTATTCATTAAACAGTCCAGGATTTTTCTATTCATTAAACAAATCAGCATATTAGAAGGATCTGAAGGATCAAGTGACACTGATGACTGGATTAATGGGTGAAAAAAATTTGGCTTTGCCATTTTAGGAATATATTGCACTTTAAAATATATTAAAATGTAGAACATTTCTTTTAAATTGTGATCAAATTTCACAATATTACTGTTTTCACTGTATTTTTTTTATATCAAATAAATGCTTCGATGAGCGTAAGAGACTTCTTTCAAAAACATAAAAAATCATACTGACCCTGAACAGTAGTGTATTTGTGATATGTCATGTAACCCAAGGTATTTTCTGTTTTAGGGTGTTTTTGTGTCCGATGAGGAGTTAAAGAAAACTTACTTGGAACCAGATAATATCGAGGACCGGGTTGAGGTTGTCCGGCATCCAGACGAAGAGGGTTAGATGCATACACTAACTTGCATGCACTCAAAATTATCCAACACTAGATTTTTTCCCCCTGCACCATTAGGCATTATTTGCATAGAACCATTGTTTAAAATGCACCAAACATAAACATTTTGTGGTACTCCCTTCAATTTTATTCAGGTGAGGACTTTTCAGATGAGGAACATGACAATTTGGTTGATGATCTTGAACCTGCGGAGCACCTTGGTGAACAGGAGCAAATTTTCCATGACTTGCATATGAGTCGGATGAGTTATGAAGACCTGGTCAAGAAGAGTGTGGTATAAAAGCTTAAGATTGATTTCCAGGGAAATGAGGATTCATGAATTGGACAGTGCTAGTTTATTCTTTCAGATTTTTTCTGTATGTAGGACCTGTTTCTGGTGAACTCTCAGAAGTACGCGCAGGAGACTGCGTTGTCTCGAAGAGTCAGAGAGTGGGAGGATGGAATCAACCCTCATCTTGCTGCTCAGGTAATATGGGATGATTCTTGCAAGGTTGTGTTAACAGATTGTAATGTTTCTAAAAATGTTCAGCATAAAAAAAAATATAGGGAACTATTGGTTACAGTTTAACCCCATTAAATAAGTGTCTAACATTTTGTGTACAGGAGACCCGTCCAGCTTTTGACATCCATGAGTATGGAGACAGAATTGTCCAATCACTCTCTAGTGTGGGAGTGAAAAAATCATTTGCCTTTGTTGTCAAAGGCAAAGAGAACACAGAAGCCTGCAGATACATGCTGGCTGCGCTACAGCTGGTGGGTAGCTGGCCTGAGACTAAGAGTCTAGTTATGCATTACCATTTAGGTTGTCTGTGCCATTTTGAGCAACTTCTATTTCTTTGACTGAGATTTGTACTGATACTTGAGTCACTTAAGTTAAAACATAACCTGACAAAAATGTGAGATTATGACCTGACGCTACTTCTGTATTACAGGCTAATGATTACACAGTGGAGATTGACAAGAGTGAGGGGCTTGAAGACAGCGTAGATACTATGGAGCTCACGTTACTGACTACACAGAGGGCTCACGAACGTCTCAAAACCTACAATGCACCCTCTGCTACAGATATTCTCTGACCTTTTGCTTTTGTTTATTGCTTATCATTTCTTTACTTTGGCCCCAAACAGAAGCTATTTATCACTGACAGCGTCAAAGAGATAAAATCCACACAAAGACTTTGTATGCTTTTCTTTTCTAGGTATTTTTTGTTCGGCAATTCCTGTATTCTGATATCCAGCACATCACTTAATTTCGGTTTGGTCTTTAAATATGCTTGGATGGATGTGAGTCCTGAGATGAAGACATACCAGGTGTTTTCACAGGCATTTTAAAGAAGCTAATGTGTCACATTTGGCTAAAATTATGATAAAAGTCTGTAAAATGGTTAATGCATTTTCTATGCATTCTCTGAGATTTTAATCTCTAAACTGCATGTATGTACAGTTTCTAAGCCATTTTTATAGAATTATAGAACACAAAAATAAAAAAAAATAGTGCTGCACTATTTAAAAAGTCATTTTTGTGGGTGATGTGAGTAAATAGCAGGTGCAACTAACATTTAGTAGCAGTAAAGTGTACGAGAACTGTCTCTGGATTTTTTTTTTTCCTGAGTTATAGTTTGGATAAATAACAATCTTTGGTTGGTGCTATTATATTTACTGAACAGTTTTAATCTACACAATTTTACACTACACAAGTTTAAATCAGAAATAGAACATTCCACCTACCAATCTTTTAATTATGTGGTATTTAAGTAATCTTTATATGCTATTATAGCATTCATTAATATTTTATATTTAAGTTTTAGTAATTTTGTATGCATTTATCACTATTTTAGTAATTTTAGTACTTAAATTTATATCAGTTGCCAACATTTCAAATTTTTCAAGTTTAAGATTTTTCATATATTTTATTTCAGCTTTATTTCAATTACAAAAAATAATATAATAGTTTTAGTTTAACTTAATTAGCAACACTGTTAATTATGCACATGAGGAACTAGGATGTGGTTGATCAGCATTTTGAAATTCAGCTTTATTGTGCAAACACATTTTTGCCTTATTTAGATTAATCTGGAAATAATTTAACATAGTTTTTCACGTGATTACGTATACTCTCAGAAATCTGTACATCATTTTTTATTCTATTGTAGTAGTCCAGGAAGAGTCCGTCTGGGTTAACCAGGTAGATGATGATGGTGTGGTCCACAATATAATCTCCATCCTCATCTTTAGGCCCAGCACTGGCGTAGACCCTATAATCCCGTCCTGCCTGCTTCACTTCCTCCGCAGTACCTGTCAATCCAATCAGCCGGGGATGGAAATCTTTTACGTACTTGGCCATGGTGGCCACGTCATCTCTCTCAGGGTCAACGGTGATAAAAAGTGGCTGGACAGTGGGCAGGCTGGTGTCTTTATCAAGAGTACGCACCACATTGGTCAATTTATCCAGCTCGTCTGGGCAGATATCCGGACAGTGGGTGAAGCCGAAGTATAAGAGCACCCAGCGGCCCAGGAAATCACGTTTGGTCCTTCGCTGTCCTGTGTGATCCAACAGACTGAAGTCTCCCTGTCCGACTGCCACTTTTCTCAACTGCTCCATTCTCTGCATCTGGATCTTCTGTTGTTTCTCCTGATAAACATACCACCACGTACCAATAATACCACCTCCGAAAAGCAGCGTCACCACTAAGCGTGTACGCAGTTTGATCCCTGCTGTTGAGCCTGGCTTTGGCGTTTTAGAGGAGCCTTGAGAGTAAAAAGCTCTTTGTTCTCCAAGTAACCATGGTAGACGGCAGTGTTGTGGAGGAAAACCTTGAGCTGATGTTCTAATATGGGACATATGTATCTTTTTGAGAGATCTGCATGAGGGGAATGTGGCTTTTGGGATATGATGTGAAAGCGGACTTATTTCTCTCATTGTTGACTGTAGGATTGTCCATGACGTCACATGCCAATCCAGTCCTCTGAGACAGCTGAGTCTCAACATCCTCAGAATAACTGATGGAGACAAAGAAAAAAGAATGGAGCGAGTTGTGCAACTTCAAATGCTCTTGATAAACTACAGTCTGAATCGAGGTTTTGAATCCTAGAGATCTGCCTTCCTACAGACAGTCACACTTTCATTTTCAAGTGAAAAGACCTTGATTATCTGGTCCATAAGGTGTGTTTATATTTAGGGTTTGAGTTTAACTCTGCAGGCACATCTCCAGAAACAGGATCACAATCGGTTTATTCATAATATATTCATGATAAATTATACAGATCTACAAAATAATAAACATAAGCCATCAGTATATAAATATTCAATGTCTAACCATCAGTATACAAATAACATAACATTGTATACGTTAATCTAATTTTTTTTTTCTGATATCGTTAACTGAATTTTGTTTTGATTTTTGTAATATTGAAAAATAATAAATTAAAAAATAAATAAATAAAAACATTGAGGGATTAACCTGACACGTAAATATACACGTATTCCATCCCGTACTGTACAGAAAAAGCAATAGCCTTCTATGGCAGGTCAATGACAATATTAGCAAGCTAGCTCTGCGAAAAAAACAACAACATTTGTTTATACCACTGTCTTTGGTCGGTGCAAACGCAGGACTTGTAATATGAACACAAAATGACAGTTAAAACACGTTTAAATGTTACTAATCCTGAGGTACCAGTCGTCTGTCCTTACTTCTAGATGTAAACTTGAGCTCCACATGTGACATGTACAACAGTCAGGCGGTGTCATACTTGAGTTTGGAGGTCGCAGATTCATTTACAGCATGCAATGTAGGTCATGTAGACATGTTGTGATTTTAAAGAATATATTTAGAAGTAACATATAAATAGTTATCATGTTAAATTACTAAGTGATATGTATTAATATTTGCTACAGTACACACCTTGTGGTAGATTCGTCATTAACGATCAAGTGCTGAAAAGCCACTAGATGGCAGTATTTGATGGCAGGTTGGTAAAGATTAACAGTTGAGTGGAAATGTGTAAAATTGACATGGTTTACAGTTGTCCGTTTTCAATTATGTTTTAGAATTGCATTGCATATAAATTATGTTTTACAACCAACACCCAAGAAAAAAAAACATTCAAAAATGCTGTTTGGAACATGGAGCCTGCACCAGGATCCTACGGACCCCTGGATAAAAATCCCGTCAGCTTTTCAAAGTGACCTAAAAGAGTTTAAAGCACATAAAGAAACTTTCAAGTTCACCGAACTACGCAGCAGATTTCCTCCTTTACTCTAAGGTAAATAGTTTTTTTTTTTAAACCACGTTTATACTAATTAGCTATACCAAAGATATTTTGCTAATGCATTCGATCTTTATCCATTCCATATCACATTTCCTTTATATAAATATTTTTTTTATCATTTCCTATCAGCGTTACAGGCTTGCTCTCTGGCAAGGGTACAGACTCTACCTGCAGCAGTTTTGCACACAAAGCCTAGAAAGATGTGGAGCACTTCAGGCAGTCCTTCTTCTCAGATGGCTTTGATTCAAAGAGAGCCCGACTAACGGTTAGAGTCCCTCCCTGAAGTACATTTGACTGTTTTCAATATCATTTTTGGTTTCAGTATAATTTCTTTTGGTTTTCAGTGACCTTTGAACTATGTGTCTGTAGTTCCGTGCTCTTCAGGAAAAATGCCAGTGCATCTTCTATTTGGAGAAAGAGAGAGGTGCACTGCCAGACCAGAGTGGGGTTCAAAACCTGCTGAGCATCCTGGGATTTGTGCACATTCTCATGCAGGCTGTTCTGCCTGATGAAAGTTTATGCTGGATCCTGTACAATGGTACCTTCAGTAAGACCCCTGGGTGTAGTGTATCACACTGACAATAAATGGTGATTGTGAATGTGACTTCTTTTCTATATTTCCTCAGGCTCGTTACACATGTACAACATATGCAGATTCCTGATGTCAGCAGGCCATGCTTCACAGGTTCTCAAAAACATGCCTTTATCTGTGATGTTTTGTAACACTTTTCAGAATATACACTACTTCAACATTGTTGTTACAATGTTTCTCAAGCACCAAATCAAAATATTAGAATGATTTCTAAAGAATCATGTGACACTGAAACCTGGAGTAATGGCTGCTGGAAATTTAGTTTTGCCATTACAGGAATAAATTACATTTTAAAATATATACAAATATAAAACAGTTATTTTAAATAATAATAATATTTCAATTTTTTGATCAAATAAATGCTGTCTTGGTGTGCATATGAAACTTATTTGAAAAACATTTAAAAAATCACACAACCCCAAATGTTTGAACGTTATTATACTTTATTTTTATGTATCAACTGTTATATTCCCATATACCCCTACCTCAGGATGTTATACAATACAAATATACATATATATAGAAAAAAGTAAATGAGGGGAAAAGAGTAAAAATATAATTTAAAAAAACTGCAAATATAATAATAATAATAAATACGTTGGCAGATACATAAAACAGCAACATACTTGCTTAAAACTACAATTGACAACATTTCTATGAATTAAATTCCTTCATGTTTGGAGCAAGTACTTGTTTTATTTATGTATTTTTTTCCACAAAACATACTTTTTGAGTATTTTGGTTTGTTTTAAAGTCTTTTTTTTTTTTGTCTTTTGTTCAGGTTTTAGAGTACTTACTATGGGCATGCACATGCCTAGAGATCTCTGTTCCTCTGCTGACTGCCAACTTCCTGCCTTGGAGGGCCACACTTTACTGTGCTGTTTGTGAATGTTATTTTCATGACTGTGCTTCAGTTCAGGCAGAGGTGAGTTTCACATCAAAATGCTAAATCAACTTAGCTTTATGACTGATATCAAAGAGCCCATAGGCAATCTGTCCTTCTTGCCTCCTGTTGTGCAATACTGTAGGTGTTTGCTCGCCGAGCCCTTGGCAAGATCAGTGAACTGGCCAAGCTGGAGGAGATAACTGGCTCCCAAGTGCCGTTTGAGACCCAACAAGCTTACAAGGAGGCCACAATAAAAGTGAGAAAATGCAGCCTAAATGAAACATGTTGTTGTTTTTATTGTTCTTGTATTATAACTACCATATTTTCATGCCTCTCTTGAATCACGTTATCGCTCCATTAATGGAGAGAAGCTTGCAGTGATGGTATTTAAGCGTTCAGTATATGAGCCCCGAAGGAAACCGAAAGGCCTCTTCAGACCCAAACAGAAGAGCAATTTGAAAGAGCTACAGCTAGTGAGTATTCACTTTAATAAGGTACAGTGCATCTTTTTCTTAGTTCTTCTCTAATATCTTCTTTTTTTCCCCTCTGTCTCTTCCTTTATATCTCTCGGTAGACTCCATGGCCTCGCACACCAACTGAGCGTATCCTGATGGAGATGTTCGAGGGCAAGGCTGCTCGGTTTCTGGCAGTGCTGGAAGCTCTAGAGGACAGCTCTGTCAGGCCTCTGCAGACCGGCATGCCTGACGAATTCGAGGTCCAGGATGTGGTGCTGGAGCTCATTTCGGCTGGGACTAGCTTGTTGTCTGGT